TTTTTAATCGGCAAGTATAAAATTTTACTAATTTTATTAGCCAATTATATTTAACAATTTAGGATCTGCGATTTACATACGTGTAGCTAATAAAATTGAACTTCCGTCATGCTAATATATTAAAAGATATTATTTATTTAAATCTACAAAATTACTCATTTAAAAACAAAACCAAAATGCCAAAGGTAAAAAGAAATACGAAAAAATGTCAAATACAACCGATAATTTTTTATCATCTCAAATTAAAGACTTAAAAAAAGAAATTGTAATCATGAAAGAAAGAATAGAACAAATAGAAGAAAATGAAAAGCTCTTGAACATTAGAATTATCTTTCTTGAAAAGGAACTGGATAAAGAATGAAGGTAGATTTATATTTACATATAATAAAATTATCTAAAGATATATAATTTTAATATCAGTATTTCCTTTAGTAATAGACAACAAGAAACATTGAATAAAATCTACAAAATCGGATTGTAAAACCGAATTCAAATTCATATCAATATGTATTATTTTTTTTTTCAAAGATATCATTATAAATAAATATTCGTTTTAAACATTTATATCAAGTTATTTGAGTAATTTATTTAATGGTTACAGTGTTTATATGTTTTGTTTATAATTATATTTATTCTTATGTTAGTAATTCTTTTATTGATATTGTACATTGAACCTAGCTGCCGCACAAAAAATGCGTGTATGATCCTCGATTTTGATTGGCTAATGGCCGTAGATCTGCAAAATTTTGGTCCGCATTACATAATTGTTTACTCAATTCTGGCCGGAATTAACTTTTTAACTTTTTCATTCTAAAAATATAAATTTTCAAAGAAATAGGCTCGCGCTATATTAAAATCAGCCCAGAAACAATTTTAACTTAATACGCAGCAGTGATTCCATTAGTAAAATTTTGAGTAATTTCGACCAAAATTTTTGATCGTCGCTCTTAGCCAATCAAAATTGAGGATCATCCGTGCATTTTTGTGCGGCAGCTAGGTTCAATATATTGTACTCAGATTAAGATGTGATGAATATATTTTATTTTAATGAATAGAAGAAATCATAAGAAAATATTAAAGGGTTTATGATTAAAATAATAATGTAATATTAAATTTATCGCTTTATTATAATAGTATAGGGTTAAAATTTTTAGTTTTATTTTCATACAATAATTATAAAAAAAATACAATGATGTTAATATAACATTATATTAATAAACACAATTTATTATAATTTATATTATCTTACTCAGTTGTTGCTCCACCAAAAGCATAATTAATTAATTCCAAGTTTAATTTATCAGACAGATACTTGATCCACACCCTTCTGTTACAGAAAATACAGATTTGTACATAATTCGTGGATTTTGAACGGATATTCAGATTGTAAATCAACGGATCACATTACTAATATTTTGACATTATTTATTCCACTTAATATATTAAACGTAGTTACCAATTAAGATAAAAATGCAAGAAATAGATAATACAATTACATCGTAATAATTTTTACATTAAAGTATAATACAGTAACTAGAGTTTGGATCCATTATCCGTTGAATACTAATTTTAATAGTAAATCTGTCGGATATCCGTTAAAATTAATATGAAACAGATAATGAATCCAAACAATATTAATAAATTTTATTTGCCATTCTAAATTGACTTGACATTCACAATATTATCTATATTTTCCTTTTAAGAATATTAACAAGAATATTGTATTATTTTTATTAATTAAAAGATTGGAGACCTCTGATGTTTTAAAACAAACGTTTCCTATGATCTCATGTATTTTAGTTGTAAAATGTAGTGCTTGGACCCAGATATCCGGTTACCCGTTTTACTGTACCCGTTTTATAAAAGCTATATCTGGATAACCATCAGTTTTATTCTGCAGATAACCGGATAAACCCTCAGATAACTGGATAACCCTACGGATATCCAGTTAATCCTACGGGTATCCGGATAAACCAGATAACTGGCGGTTATCACATGATCACATACGTACCGTCGTTCATACATACACTGGCGATCATAAATAATGCATCAAAAAAAAAAAATTCGTTAGATCGAATTTTCTCGCGCAATTCCGCGTG